AAATGAAGAAGGGTCTAGGCCTGAAACGTCAGCTTTCCTGCTCCTCTGATGCTGCTTGGCCTGCTGTGTTCATCCAGCTCTACACCTTGTTATCTCAGATTCTCCAGCATCTGCAGTTCCTACTATCTCTGGAACATATGACACTTGTTTAAACTGCACTCATCCAAACAACACTCAAGTTGCAACACTATCCAGGACAAAGCAGATTTCCTGATTGACATCAATCCATCATGCAACGTTCAACCCCTCCATCACAATGGACAGTGGCAGCAGGGTACACCATTTACAAGATACATGCCAAACACTCAAAGCCTCTGTCAGTAACACCTTCCAAACCAGCAAGCTCTGCCATTAAGAAGGACAAGGACAGCAAATGCATGAGAATATTTCCACCCTCGAGTCACCATCTTGACTTGAATAATCTTGCTGCTGCCTCACCATCATTGGGTTAAAATCCTTCAACTTCCTCCCTAACAGGATTGTCAGTGGACCTACGTCACAGACTGTAGACCTTAAAGGCAGTGGCTCACCACCATGCTGTCTAAGGAAACATGGTGGTCAACAAATGTTGGCCTAGCTCATGATGACCACGTCTCTTAAAGTAATGCATCTTTAAAACACTGTCCAAAGGCCTTAAACAAATTGTGTCCATCCAACCCCACTGTCATCACATTCCTGCATCCCTATAAAACAAAACAATTTAGTCCATCTTGTCTTTGCCCATTCTTCTTTCCAAAATGGATCACTTCACATGACTATGCATTATATTTCAGGTGCATTTTCATCAATTCGCAGATCTGCCTATTTCATAAATCTTCTGTGTGCTGACTATGTAGTTGAGTTTCAGGTCCATTGCAAACTAGGAAATCATGCTCATCTCATAAACATAGTGGCTACAAGAGCAAGTCAGAGGCTAGGAATTCTACAGCAAGTAACTCACCTCCCGACTCCCCAAAGCCAGTCCACCATCTACAAGGCACAAGTCGGGAGTGTGATGGCACACTCCGTGCTTGCCTGGATTAGTGCAGTTCCAACAGCACTCAAGAAGCTCGACATCATCCAAAACAAAGCAGCCCGTTTAATTGGCAGGTCCATTATTTATAAAGGAAGAAAGGTACAAATCAGGTAATTCTATCCAGTGGTTTCAAAACTAATATACAATAAACAGTGATGCCCCAAGTTACACCCCGTGCTCCTAAAGGGGTCTAACCAAGGTTTTGTATCGCTATACAAAAAAAAAATCCCTCTATATTCTAACTTTCCAGGTTTTAGGCCAGCATTATCTCAAGCTTTCTTACTGACGTTTTGTACATTTTATGGATCTGTACGCACAAAACCAAAACCCCCACTTTTCCTGGCTTTTCATAGATTTTTTTTTAAAAAAAAACTCAGAAAAAAAAAAAATACATGCCTGCTACCTGCACACGTTCACCATTCACTTAAATCAGGTATTGCCTCGTCATAAATTTACGTTCA